GGGGGGGGGGGGGGGGGGCTTGGAGTTCCAGCATCATACACCCTTCCCACAATGTCTTAAAATTTGGGTTTCTGAAATGACATTTCCAGCATTATTGGAACACATTTTTGAAAGATTACTTTTCCCTAGTCATTAAGTTGCAAAGCTTCCCCATTGACGAATAAAATCGTCTGGCGTTGGACAGGTCAAAAAGTAGGGCGCACTGGGGCACATTGTGGCAAAATGGGTTAACCAATATTGTAGGGGCTGTTCATGTTACAGGTCAAATGAAACATTATTGACTGCAAAATTAGTATGGAAAATATAAAGAGAAAGTAAAGTCATTTCACACATTTCTGAGTTTTGCATTTGTCTTAATTTTTGCAAATTCTGTAGATTATACTTAGTGGATGCTTATACTCAAGGGATGCTTATACCCAGGTGGTGCTTATACCCAGAGGGTGCTTAATGGCAGGGGTTGCCTATTCTTGGGTTTCACTACAGCATTATGCAGTGAATCTGACGGGGGGTCAACCTCAAATGTATTGATGCTTATGCTGTAGTGGAGTGAGAAAATGATACGAAATTCCATGTATTTGCCACCGAACACAAGGCTAATACATAAAACGAACAATCGACTCACTCTGATAACTGTGTTTTGTTGACCGTCCGTCACTTTTGTGATGTCATATGAAACCCAAGAATACGGGTATACTTGCTGGATGCTTATTATACCCAGAGGGCACTTTAGCAAATAATTTCAAAAGGAATGTGGAAACACATTAGATGATGAACACAACAATTTTTATACATCCAAGGAATATGCTAAAAAATGCAAATACATGTACTAACAAAATTACTAAAATAATTTCATCTACATGGACTACTGTACTATAGCAATAGTCAAGGTTGTTCTTGTGACTACATTAGCAAAAGTCAAGGTAGTTTTTTTTACTAATATAGCAATAGTCAAGGTAGTTAATCCCAGCACAAATGGCAATTGCTTTGCAATATACAGTACTCCTGGCCTTCTTGACTTGTTTTTGTTTGGTACGTGGCCTTTCACGTACTGTAAATAGCCCTGTATGATCAGTACGAGCCACAATGGGCCCTTTCATGTGTAATATTGTATTTTTCAATTTTTGATTTGGCTCCTTTGTATACTGCATTTCTGATTTGATACGTCGACTTCGCGTATAAAAATGCCAGATCTATATTCGGACCAAAAATATATCTTTGACCAGAGCAAGCCAAAATGGCGTTGTAAATAATACAATAAAAGCAAACTTATACAAAAATAGAAATGAGCAAATATACCTGTTACTCAAAGGAACACAAGGAATAACGCGATATGCTGCTCAAAGAAACACAAGGAATAACGCGATATGTTGCTCATGCTAGTGTAGAAATAGAAGTCCTCAAACTGGATCAAAATCATCAAATGCCTCGAAATGCAAATGTGAAATGTCGGCAGAAAAATACGGGCGCTTCCGATTGCTTACGATACTTTACGAAAATCCGGACTTGACACCATGATCATCATCGCTCATCGCGTTTGTGTACTATGTGATAATGGCTAGCCCGCAAACGGGCTAGCCACAAAAACGACTCATCTTATGAGTTCATTGGCGAAGTAATTTTAAAAATAAAACGTTGCCTAAGCCGAGAAAATGAAAGTTAAAATTTATGTAAATCAACATGAATCTGTTTCACATATACAGATACGACACGCTTATGATTTTTCTTTGTGTTTTCTTCATGAATTATTAATGAGTTTTTCAAAGTCTTTTATAACGCTGTATAGTGTCGTATAGTCTCGTATAGCCTTATATAGTGTTGGATATAGTCTTGTATAACATTGTATAGTGTTGTAAGCTCATTAGTAAGTTCACCTGCTAACAAGATATGTAGCTTTTGGCAGATTTTTGTAAAAAAAACAATATACAGACAGACAGGATATGTATAACAGTGTTATGCGCTTCCATTATTAATAGTGTTATGGTATATAAATTAATGGTGTTGTTATGATATATATAATAATGTTATATTTCCATTGTTAATAGTATTAACAGTCCTTATATCACACTTGCGTCGGTTTTTTTTGTTCGTCCGAGGTTTATAACTATCTTATAGACCTTGAATAAATGATTGGATAAAACTTGTAGACAAAACGCGAGAATTTTTCATTAAAAATTTTCGAAAATGACAAAATATGTTGGAAAACTTCCGCAAGTGTGATATAAGTTAGTTATAAACCGAGTAAGTCGGTTTATAACTGATATATTGCCCCTCGGACGCTACGCGTCCTCGGGTCAATATATCAGTTATAAACCTCCTACTCGGTTTATAACTCTTACTTATCTCTTACGCATTATATTTATCATTAGTAATAGTACTGTGAGTCATTCCTGGTTATTACTCTAGAAGTGACCAAACTTGACTTTGTGTCTAAGAATATTGCAAAATCCGCAAATTAACCTTAGTGATAATCGTATAATAGCTAAATGTGTGGAGGTAGCCCTGCGGGACACATTATAGTATTATCATATATCGTCGAAGAAATAAGGCGTGGAATGACCATAATTACTTAATTTTTATTAGCTACTATTGTTTGGAGTGCTCAGAAAATGCCTGTTTCATTACAGAGAACTGTTTTCTTAATTTTAGATAATTAGAATATTGTTGTAACATATATGCATCATATATATCTCATATACACTAGATAGTGCATCTAATTATTCTGCAATTCAAAAATTGAAGCCGTGATTGCAGTCTCAGGTCGTTCCCATGAAATGAGAAGATTCGTATGTTTTCTATTTCTTAAACAGGGAACTTAAACATTAAGTTAACCCTTTTCGAAATACATTTTTAAACTATTCAACTGATGAAAGTTATTGTTGCTTTTAAGCGTTTATTAGCAAGTGGGAACGACCAACATGGCCGCCATCTATTCAGATGGGGGTAACCGCTGGAATATTCTTGGCTTCAATTTTACTAAAAGAGATGCGCTATCTAGTGTATATAAGATATCTATGATATGCATGTGATTGTTACAATAAAATACGATTTTCATTGTTTAAAAATTATAATAGTGTTATGTTTCCTTTATATTGTTATTTAGTTTTGAATTATCCACGGATTAGAAACAGATTTTGAACAACCTAACCCGAAGTTTTGGCCGCGAGGCAGCACTTTCCTTGCGTTAGTAACGTCTAGTAATTTAGTTATTCAAATAACTGATGTTCTTATTGGGTTACTGTGCAGGGAGAAAATTGGGGAGAGATGCCTGCTAAAATCCGAAGTGAATGGACATGCTGTGTCACCTCAACGGACTTATCGTGGCACCTGGGGTACCCTAGGGATTAGGGTTTGTTCATATCAAAACTACTACAAAATGTCAAAAGCTGTATGAAGCCCACTCCCATAGGATACGGTCTCTTTATTCATACTTCATATTCAAACACAATTCGAAAAAATATCGATCGAGAATATCATTTTCATGTTGTAAATTGTTACAAATATGAATGAAACATTGATTATTTTGCATTTACAAAGGATGGCCGGAATTTAACGAAATCCAGTTGGTCAAACCACGCCGAAACTGTGTAAATCGTATCGATCGACGAAGTAAATTTGGTCTGTATCCTAGACATGCATATAACATCAATATATTAATGCTTTTGGGAAACGGAATACTCTTGAAGGCAGATGGAGTTGTAAATATCAAAATTTCAACTGGATAATGCATGCTCTTGCCTCTTGGAATTGTCGATTACTGTTATACACTCTAGTGGACGTGCATGACATTGAAACTGGTTTGTCTACACAATTTTGAGATATTTCAGCAAAGAACAATCTTCAAATTTACAATCCCATGTGTTTTTACGTTGTATGTTGCTCGTTAGCGAGACATATTTCAGGGATTTGTTGAGTACATGTACAGCATGTAAACTATGTAAACACTGAGTAGGCTGCTTAGTACTGACTGTGCTTAAACACAAATTTGCAAGCAACTATTGTGCAAGTTGACCAAATGTAACAAGTGTTTATATTCAATAATTATAAGTCAAGCGAAGTTATACAATTTGTATTGTTGCTGTATCATGTTAGATGTTACGCTCAAGATTATTCTACTGCATTACTTCATGGTATTAACCAGCCTGCCATCCAGCTGACTAAAATTTTAGACAGCCAACCAAAAATTTGGATTGTCACTTGAAAATTGTAATTGTAAATAATCCAAGGATCGATCCAGCAAGATCTGGTAGGGGGCTGCTCTGCAGGCTATGGTGCAGAGTTGTTTCGATCATGTATGCTGCTTGCCCATCAACACACTCCAGGGCTTTCAGAATAAGCCGGTGGCTGCAGGAGCTCCGACACGTGCTACAAGGTTTACTTCCGCTTACTTTGTTTAGTACTTGAAATATCAATTTGCTCTCCTTTTTCCACTCTAAGCTTTCAAGTTATTTTTCATCAACCTGGTCTAATGATTTAGTTATTTGCCATCTTAAATCTTAATGTTATCTTGTTGAAGAATTAAAGTGGTGATACATTATACCTTGGTTGCAGAGTTCAGTTGTGCTGCTATATCTAATCAATATACACTTGTTAATTTGGATAACTTTAAGACCCCCTAGACCGCCCCCTCCCAACAGCCGCCTACTCTATCAAAACAGACACCTACTCAGATTAATTCTGAAAGCCCTGATTTGAATGGTAATTGTTGTTTGAAGTTTGCTTATCATCATGTTATTGCTCAAATTACTGTCTCATTTTGTCTCTATTATTTTTTGCTTTATCATGAAAAAATCTCCCCCTCATGCCAGGGCTAGGAGGGTGCACTCCCATCTAGTAAATCTGGTACTTGCAATGCAATTTCGGACAAAAGGCGATGTGATTTAAAAATAAGTCGCAGGGAAATTGTGAGCATGGACCACAGCTTACACTTTATTTTTTTATCCCATTTCTTTTTTTTTCATCCATTAAAAGCAGGTTATATTGTAAATAAAGTGTCAGCAGAACAGAATGCTGGCCATGTTCAATATGTCACTATTTTATCTAGCAAGTTATGACATGCTTGATCAATGTTGACATTGACAATGGTTGCTTGTCCATGTCCATGTCACTGTAGCCTTGAAGCTGCTAACTGTACAATGTAAACCTTGCTCTCCACACTTTCTAGGATGCAGCACCTTAATCTCCATCTCAGACATGCAAAATAGCACCTAGTTTCTTTCATGGAAACCCTGATAATTCAACATGTTTATTTGGATTAAAAAAATTATATTATTATAATCATCTACCACATTATTGTTTAACTGCTGGATTGTACAATGCAATTCACACCATGCAGGTACTAAATGTTTTAGAATAGTTAGTGAACCCAGCTAATTTTAGATTTCAGACAGTGGCGTTTGCTTGGATGTTGCTTCACTGATTGGAGTACTCGGCCAATCTGACAACCAAACACCAGCCGAAGGCTTTTTCCTTCAAATCAATATGGCTCTTGCCTTGGTTTCTATTAACACTGGGTCCACAATTATCATGTTGAAATATATTTTATATTGTTACATTTCTACACATTCTATGTAGGGCAATTTTGTCTTGCTTCTGACAACCATGAACTAACTGTACATGATAATTGTACTATTTTATATAATTAGGCCAGCCAGACATTAATAATTATTAATTACAACTAATTGATCAAAAAAATATTATATGAAGTTAAATGCATTTCATTGTGATATTAACACACAAAGTCTACCTTTATAGTACTTAAAAGATTACAACAAGATTTAATCTATTTCCATCTGCAGCTTTAAATACAAAAATATATGTCAACCTTGATGGCTTGATGTTTTCCATCTACAGATATACAAAAATATATGTCAACTGACAACATGTAAATTATTTGATAACAATTTTAATTTCCGGGTTAGATTCTTTCAATTGTCCAAAAGAGCTGAATTGTTAATCGTTTAGCCGCCTTTAGCGACCGTATTAATATAAATTCACTAATTCTCATAATTCTTCACTCCATCATATGACTTCATGCAATCCGCCATCTTGGATGACAGATCCCTCCTCACGTGCATACCCTAGAGATAAAATCGCTGCGCAAGCAAGATGCGCAGAACGGCTCAACCACGTCGGGTTTTGGCAGGCATCTCACCGATTCTAGGCCAAGTACCACGAGATGCCTGCGGAGGAGGCTAAATCGAAACAGCTCGTTTCGAGTTCGGTAAAAATAGTACCAACATGCTTTGCATACCGCGACTCTTGCCCATATAGAGTTCACTGCTCTTGCTTGTCGCCATATTTCATATTTGCAAATATTCAAATCGTTTGCTTCTTCATCGCCGGAATATTTGGATATTTATTACTTCTCAACGCAGGAATACTTAAAGATTTAATCAAGCAAGGTATGCACTACATCAATTGCCTTTTTCCCCAGAAGAGAGAGTACAATCTCATTATCTCAGGACTATATTTCATTTGCTAGGACCAATCCCCAATTCGATTCGGTGATGGTCAATGAAAAGCCACTGGAGATTATTCAACACGCAAAGCTGCTGGGCCTGAATATATCGAGCGACTTAAAATGGAACTTCCATGTATCAGAAACAACCAAGAAGGCTGCACCTCGTTTCTATTTCTTGAGACAACTCAAAAGAGCAGCCATTCCAACTAAGGAACTTCTGAAATTTTATACTACATGTATTCGCCCGATCTTTGAATATGCATGCCCAGTTTATCACAACTCGCTACCCAAGTACCTATCAGACGACATTGAAAGGCTGCAGAAGAGAGCTCTAAGAATAATCTACCCTTGGATGCCTTACACTGATTCCCTCGAAGAAAGCGGTCTGCCTCGCCTCTTTGAACGCAGGCAGCTCTTGACGTGCAAACTGTTTAATGAGATCACTCGAGATCAATCCCACAAACTCAGACCTCTACTACCATCTGAAAATAACTGTTCATACCAACTGAGACGTAAAAGGCAACTTAACGTTCCAAGGGCCAAAACTGATCGGTTTATGAATTCTTTTATTGTTAGTAATTGTAAATATTGTTAATCATTAGGTTTCTTAAATTTTTATAATTGTAAAGTTTTAACACAATTCAGCCATTATCAGCTGTAAAGTCTTTTAAAACTGAATAAATCATCTATCTATCTATCTATCTATCTATCTATATTGTAACGGAATTTTATTCTGCTGGTTTTAATACAACTCGTGTATATAAAAATACATTAAAAAATTTTGTCTTGAGTTAACAATTTCACAGGATTTTGGCCTCTCTGCAACTTATTTATTTCATACAAAGTCAACATTTTTTCTTCCCTCGACAGCTTTTTGATTGTGTAATATTTTAATATAACAGCATTTGTTTGGACATCTCACTTGATTGAAGTCATTGAACTTATTAAATATTGAATTGTGAATGTTGAAGGAGTTTGTACATGGTCTAAAAAGAGGCTTTTCACATCCAAACATTGGGCACTGAGGGGCGCTCTCTACATGTAGCTTCAAATATGTACTTTGGTCATTTTAACCTCATGCGTATGGCCTGTTCAAATGAGCCATAATAATATCAGCATAGAAAATTACATTTTGTTCATGTAATGAAGCACAAACTATTAGCCCACTTGGTCATATCCCATATTTGTTGAAATGAGAGACCAGGCATTTTAATTTTAATGAAAGCATTGTGAGAATTATCGGTGTAAGTTCTATCAATAGACATAGCATCATAAAGAAAAAGCTAACTGCAACTAGGCCAGGGTATACAAGCACTGTTATAAATGTGTCTAATTCATTCATTAATATCAATTTTACTTAGGATTATGTTGATGAGCTCTTTTGCTGGGCAAATTTAGAGGGCTATATATAACAAACCAGTCATTGGTGACGCTAGATGATCTTCATTCAAGATTCATTATCGGAAAGGAATCATCAGCAAGAAATGATCTTTTCATTGGCTGATAAAAATTAACCTTGGGTAGATGTTTGCCAGGTTGTATATTTCTTGTAGCCTTTGACTTGCATAAGGAAAAGAAAATATATGCTGACACTACATGCTAGACGATGAACTCATTGTTGAAGAACATATTAGTTATGTTTATAATAGAAAAAGGATACTGTAAAGTCATCTTGCAATTGTACTGGACAGAGTAATGTAATAAGTGCAGAGCTCGGCACAACTAATTTAATTTTACATTACCATTTGCAGTTTAAATAGTAGTAAATGTGATATTTTACATTCATCCAGCTTTACTGTCTTACATTTTGAGGAGCATTACAGTACAAAACTTAAATGTGCCCTACTAGCCTACTGCCCTTTCATTATATTACTCTATCTAACAGCACATAAGGTTATATTTCATTAAGGGGTGAGTCTTATTTAATAGTTTGTTTGTGAATTTATTTAGATATGTATCATTTGGATATTGAGCATAATAGTTTTCACCTAAATACATTGTGCTTTATCTATTTTCTATTTATGTGTATAATGCTAAGTTGAATAGAATATTATTTTTTGCTAAACTGTTTTGATTTAGGTCATGTTAATAGATACCACTAAGATGGTTTCGATAAATCAAAACATTGACTTGGTCTCGATAAATCGAAACATTGACATGATCTCGATAAATCGAAACATTGACAGGGTCTCGATAAATCGAAACATTGGCAAAGTCTCGATAAATCGAAACATTGACATGGTCTCAATAAATCGAAACAAAGACATGGTCTTCGATAAATCGAAACATTGACATGATTGACTTGGTCTCGATAAATCGAAACAATCACATGGTCTCGATAAATCGAATCATTGGCATGGTCTCGATAAATCGAAACATTGGCATAGTCTCGATAAATCGAAACATTGACTTGGTCTCGATAAAGCGAAACATTGACTTGGTCTCGATAAATCGAAACATTGACTTGGTCTCGATAAATCGAAACATTGACATGGTCTCGATAAATTCAAACATTGACATGGTCTCGATAAATCAAAACACTGATATAGTTTCCATAAATTAATCAGAAATGCCTTTGGTTAAACCAACATATTTTCACTGTTAGCTGTCATGCTATTTTTGCATTATTTGATCCTTTAGTTTCAGAACAGTCTACAAAATGTATTGTTAATTTTAGGTAAATTTAGTTGTTTTGGCAAGAGAAGAAAATTTGCATTCTTTTTTTTTTGCACGAAAGGTGTTTTTAAGCACCAATTTTTCTGTGTTTTTCAGTTTTGTACAAATTCGTTTAAAAATACGAAAATTAGCACCATTTTTGGCTAAGTAGAATATTGCCATATTGGACCATATAGTAGAACGTGTTTGGTCCATAGAATACAAAAATAGAACGGACCCAAGGAATAACAGTGCTCCTATGCAAATACCATGTTTTTGCCTACTCTCTACACGAGCTATAACAGCAATTTTTCTGAAGAAAACGAAGCTGATTAGTTGCTGCGAACAATAGAGCTAGGTCACAACCCCTATTGGTGCTCGTGGAAAGCAGGCAATCACGTGTAATTTGGCAACATTTTCCATTATTTAAAATAATGTATACCTTATTCGTACGAGCAATATCATACGATTACTTGTTTATTACATGCATGAAAAATTGCAAAACATGACACAATTAGATCGTTAATTGTACGGCAGGACAACTAACGATATAATTTTGTCATGTTTTGTAATTTTTGTTAATTGTACTGCAGTACAATGTACTGCTCTCAACTAAACATCATGTAATAATTCTTGTAATAAATTAGTAGAACGCATCAGGTGCGGTGTTCTGGAGGAAAGAGACAGCCCTGTTTTCCTATCAACGTGCCATTACAATTAAGTTGCGGTTCTGCACGTTACTTACCTCACTCTCAGTATTAGCGGCAGACCAGCCACCTAAGATTTTGCAGTTCCTACACGGATAAACAAGCTCTCGGTCTGTCATGGGAACGTCAATGACCACAAAATTGTTATGCTTGTCGAGTGTTCCCACTAACTTTTTGCTAGAGTCCTTGTGGTACCACTCAATTCCGTCAGGGGTTATCTCCGAAGTCCATTTCTGACCTGTCGAGCTGACTTGAACGAGAGAGGACCTGGCACTAACTGTAGTTTCGATCCCGTATTTGGCTTTGAAGGCGTTGAGGAAATCCTCCAAGAATGAGTTCGTTAAAAAGTACTGCTGACTTTCATGTTTAGCCATGTTGCAGCCCACAAGACTTATCTTGCCTATTTTTCCTTCACTGCACTGCACTGCACTACACTGCACTGCACTGCACCAGTGCACTGCACTGCACTGCACTGCACTGCACTGCACTGCACTGCACTGCACTGCACTGCACTGCACTGCATTGCACTGCACTGCACTGCACTGCACTGCACTGCACTGCACTGCACTGCACTGCACTGCACTGCACTGCACTGCACTGCACTGCACTGC